GCCTACACAAATATGGAAGCAAAGGGTGAGTACAAAAACATATGGTACTCAGCAAGTGAACTCCTAAACACAAGTTAAGAATATAGAATGTAGATACTTAACATGTGTTTAGGAGTTCGCTTGCCGAGTACCGTGTGGTTTGGTAATTACTCCTTGCTTCTACATTTGTGTAGGTTATGAGCCCGGATCATTGATAATTTCTCTTCTCTTCTTGTCTGAGGCTTCCTGTGGAGATTTGTGAGGTAGCTATTTGTTATCTTAGCGGACCCTCACACTCCTATTTATGATTTTGTTCTACTTTAGAGACAACATCATCTAAAACTTATATTTTCTTTCAAATGTATCATAATACATTAGAAGCTTATAAACGTGACAACCAAATTTTATGGATTTAGTTAAATTGACTTATTATCTGCATTATAATTGAGTATTAAACTTCTATTTTTATTTATTTTTGTATTTTATCGTAATAGTTGAGTTTTAGGCTGATTGTCTTGGTTGGATAAGACGAGTGTCATCACATCCATTTTTGGATTGTGATAGTTCTCATGTCATATTTATGCATTTTTCTCACACTCAGTACATTTCGAGTACTGACCGCATACTTTTTTCCTATATTATGTCCTAATATAGATTCTGACGCACATTCTTTAGGCCATGATTAGTACAAGATCTTCTCAACTCATATTGTTGTTGGTGAGTCCTCGTGTTCCAGGGACATGCCTTTATGACTTTTCTTATGTACTTTCATTCAATTTTCAGACAGTTTAGAGTTAGCTAGGAACTTATCTTACCAACTCACTATGTTTAGAGGCTTTTCAGACAATTAGGTGTTCTCACGTGTATTGTTTTTGTATCGGATTTCTTCTTTATGATATGTTTGTTATTTAAAACTTTAGCCCATTTTCATGTTATTCGATTATATATGTTATCTTAGTATTATGACATGTCATGTGGTTAGCTTAGGATCACTTGTGGCTCTAGGCACCATGTCACGTCTAAGGAATAGTCTTGAATTGTGACACTAATGAACTGAAATATTGTTAACTAATAAAAATATGAAAGAGATTTCTGCAATGATGTCATTTTTCGTCTTTGCCATTACAGTGCCGCCGATTACAAATAAAAGTAGTGCACTAAAAAAGAAAATACTAATAAAATATGGTGATAATTTTATTTATAATATAACTATGATTCAAATTATCCTTAATAATTTTAATTTCTAGTTTCTAATGCTTAACATATCCTAATAATATTTTAAAATATTATTCTATTATCTTTAAAATTATTCAATGGTGTAAAGAAAATCTACAATGATGGTACACCAAACAATCATAGTGACCTATTACACACCTATACTATTTAAAAGTAAATTTTCTTACCCACTAAAACCGACGTGGCAAAAAAAAAAAATAGGCGCGTCAGTTTAAAAATAAAGTTTTAAAAAAAAAGTTAGAATCCTTTTTTCTACCCCCACTCCCCACACCTCTTCTTTATCACACCACACCCAATGTCTTTTTCTTGTTCTTCATTCTTTATTTTTATCACATTTCTTTATTTTTTTTATCACAATCTAAAAACACATTTTTTTTATTCGCAATTAGGTTAATTTCTATAGATTTGTTAGTGAATAATTATATTATATCTAGAAAAAATTTTGTCGATTGTTTCTATCTTTTTCATTTTTTTGACTTTGTTAAAGAAATTTTGGTTGTTAATCAATTTTTGGGTGGTGGTGATGGATGGCGGGTGGCAAAAATTAAAATAGGTAATTGAAGGTGGCGAAGAAGAAAAAATTGATATTGATAATGGTGGTGGTGATATTTGGTGACAAAGAAGAAGAAGAATTGAAGGCGATATAGTGGTGATAAAGAACAAAATCTAGTGAAGGTGGGGTCGGATATGATTTTCCGATGAAATGCGAATTGAAAATAGGTGGGATTTAGTGATGAAGAAGATATAATTATTAAAGAATTAAAATAATTAATTAGAGGTAAATATAGTTAATAAAAGAAAATTTAATTAATAAAGAAAACAAAATAAAAAATTATAATTTATGACATGACACTGACGTAGTGTTGATGTGGCGCGAGTGTAATACACCATATAATGTGAGAGTGGTGTTACACGTCTCAGGGTGGTAATAAATTCACTTTTGAATAGTAAAGGCGTGTAATAGATCACCATGATAGTTTAAGCGTGTAACTGACTTTTCGGGACAAGTTTAAGGAGAACCTATGTGTTTGCCCCTCTCATAAATTATATATGTAGTCATTGCTCATTCTTCTATTTTTTTCTATACTAATTGACTTTCTTATCATATCATCATATCATATTAAAAGTGAAAAAATTTAAGTTCAAAGTTGGATTAAGAAAATGTGTTTTTTTTTTAATTGAAAAATACCTTACTAATTTTTAAAATCAAATAAATAATGACAATTAAACTAAATCAAATACATGATTAGATGTTACAACTTTTCATTTTCTACTTTTTAATGAGGTTTAATTGTTAGTCCTTTTAATTTAATTTAATGTCTATAAAATATTGAATAATTCTTTTGTCTTTCAAAAAAATATTGTATCAAGAATATTTAAGTGTAAAAATAAAAATATATTTTATAAACATGATAAATACAAAACAGTAAATACAAACCAATAGAAAATGGGAGTTGTATAGCCACAGTAGATGAAAAGGCAAATCATTCTTTTATATTCATTTGAATTGATTTCCTCTTTTATTTCTTATGAAATAAATGTTTTTTCATTTATGTTTTCCAATACATTTCTATAATAATTCTTATGTTCTTCCTTATTCATTTTTCATTTTTCATTCTTCATCTTTTAGCAAAAAATAGGAGGTAAATTTATTACCAATTTTTTTTTAATTTCATTTCGTCAACAAAATCATGTCCATCTATAAAATCAGCTAAATTTATCTTTTTTTCTCTATCACTTTTGCATTCACTCCTAACTTTTGATGTACACAATTTCTTCCTTAATAAACTGGATAAAATATTTTAGTCCACTGCACTTTTAAATTTTATCATCTTATAATTCTTATGTAATTTTTTATTTAGTGATTATTCTTTCTTATTCTGATTAATATATTTCTTTGTTTAACCGTTTTCATTTTGTATGCATATGATGATATGTATATTTTATTATTTTTTAAGTTAATTGAGTTGATATTACATTTTTTTCTATACTTGAGTAAGGCCTATATAAATATTATATCGTTATAGAGGTCAAACGTGCAAGGCATGCTTCCAAAACTAGTTATGTTAATAAGTAAAAAAACGAGACAATGAACACAATATAATATGAACGAAGACATTAAACCTACCATTAACTAAAATTCAAAATAATTTTTTATAGCAAAACTTAAATGATTGACACTAAAAGTTATTTCGAAAAATAAAATTCACTAAGTAAGTTTAAATTGAAACTTTTTAACATTAAATATAATGCGGCAAAACTATAATAAAAACTCAATCAATTTATTGTTTCTTCTTCTTTTTGACTTTTACAGATATGCATTAGCTAATAAAATCGGATGTAACTTAAATATGAATCCCTACATTATTATAGTTAACTTACTTACCATAATGAAGAAGTCTCATCAAAGTAAAATATATATTTTTATTTAATAAATATTTAGTATAAGACAATCTACAACTAACTATTCATGTTTTGAGTACTTTCCTTAAATGAATAAAAAAATACTTCTCCACTATGCGTAAACATATCATTTTGATTATTTTTTTGTTGCAATCAATTGATATTGATTTGCCTCAAAATAATTTAGCTTTTTTTAAAATATAAGTTGAGTGACTTCTTGATGAGTATCGTATCGAAACAAAAATAAAATTAAGAAATATTTAACTTTTAATATACTAGAAAGTAATATTAAATTTCTATTAAATATATATTTATTTTTAAAAATAGATAAAATTATACTGTGTTCTATAATCGCTGCAATAACTATAATCTTACACAAATCACAATTTAAAATTTAATAAATATTTGAATTTATATTTTATATAACTATTAACTTTATGATTTTTATGCACGTTGAAATATTACTGAAATTGATATTTCAAAATTCTCAGTCATTTAAAATGTTTGTTGTTTTAATCTTTAATTCTGTAGATATATAATAATTAAAATATATTTTTTTCACTTATTACTATGAGTAAGCACATACATTTTCATTACTCTATGACCATATTTGGAGGATTCTACTTACTCAAAATTAAAGCCACACTAAATTATTCTCCTATAAAAAAGTTTGACTCATAAAGGTTGGTCAAGATTAGACTAGATCCATAAACTACATATATTTTAATACCATAACATCAAACTTGGTAGGTAATACACCCTTATTTAGTTTCAGTCAAAAATAATTACTAGGAATTCTCTAAGTCAAACTATTCAAAGATTTATAGAATCTAAATTTTCCCTATAAAATGGAGTCTATCCTAGGCAAGGAAACAAACAGCAAAGTTTTTTGATGCACATCCAAACAAACATAATTTTTAGATCTCCTCTCTTCTTCCCGATTAGCAATGCCAAGAAGTAAAGGAAAGATTTTATATATTGAAAATGATACTCAAAGGAAAGCCACATATAAGAAGAGACAAAAAGTAGCGTTTAAAAAGGCTCAAGAAATTAGTACTCTGTGTGAGTGTGAAGTAGCTGGCGTCAGATATAGTGAGTACCACACAAAACCTATGGTATATCCAAATTATGAAGATGCAGTAGAAACTTTTAGGAAGT